ATATATATATATATATAAAACACCACAGAAACAAACAATGGTGATCAGTGGGATTTTGACCAAACAGATAAGATAACCAAGCCTTCTTTGGAGCTCTACAGCTCAGGCATCCTTCACAGCAGAAACATCACTCAAAGTTTAAAGTGGTCGCAGAAAGTTTAATACTAATTTCTGGAGATTTTTCTTCTTAGTGTTAACCAACAGTTGATGTCACTCACTTTTTCAACCATCTAAAAATTTCAAAACCTTTGAGGACAAACTCGGCTTACACCCACAACTTGTTTGTTGCAGACACAAATTATACAGCAAAATGTTTGTTTTGTCTTCCTTTGGTTCTCACTGCTATAGGATTTGTAGTTTTCTCTCATATCACCCCCAGAATACAGAGAGTGCACACCCCAGGCTTCAACAAAACTCAGCTATATTTTAGCTTGAACATTTCTCATCAAAACTTGAAGTAATCTGCCTTTTTAACTGGTCAAAATACAAATTATATACTGTATTTTTCAGACTATAAGGCACACTTAAAATCCTTTAATTTTCTCCAAAATCAACAGTGAGCCTTATAATCTGGTGCGCCTTATGTATTAATGCTGGTTGTACTTACGTACTGACCTCGAACCGATTTTATGTGATACATGGTGCACAAAAAGCTGTCAAAATATAGTTTTGCTTAATGCACCTTTTAATCTGGTGCACCTTATAGTCTGAAAAATACGGTATATAAACTAATAGTAATGCAAAAAGTCACATGTTTGTCCATTATTCAGGTCTCTCTTTTAAATGAGTCCCTGGAACTCAATGGGATTAACCTGTATAAATAAAGGTTGAATAAATTATAGTGTCCTGCCACTCATGGATCAAGAAGCTGTCAGGTCTGACTTTTAACTTTTGCACAGTGATGTCTGCTTTTTTTTTTTTTGTTTTTTTAATTTTGGCCATATTTCCATTAACTTGGCATTCAGAGAGTGACAGATAGAGGCATGTGGTTACCATGGTGACTAAACTGAACCATCGATTGCAACTTTAACATTTGTTTTGATGTTGATTACCTTTGCACTTCTTACAAAGCTTATACATCTATAAAAAAATAGCCCCCCCCCCATTATAGCTTATTACACCGTTATGTTAGAATTTTAGCATTTAGCTGCATCATCTTAAAAGTTATAGTTTTGTAATGTACGCTTAATCAGTGCAAAAAAATAAATACATAAAATAACAATTATTTTCCCATCTGCATTGTATGCAGTGTTTAACTTTGTTTGTGGGTTCACAGCTGACAATCGGACCAAAAGGCGAGTGTCCAACCATGAAAGGAAGCAGCAGGATTTCTCTATTTTCAAAGTAGCCGAAAATGAGCTGAAGGTGAAAGTCTCGCCCCAATTGTTGCTCGCCACTCACCGCTTCCTGGCTACAGGTATGCAGTCGGCCCACACACGGGGTGTGAGACACCAGATGTGCGACTTTGCTTTTCCTTTTGTCCTGCTAAGTGCTGATTTGAATCGGTTTTGCAGAAGTGGAGCCTTTCAGGCCGTGTCACCTGTCAGACAAGATCCTGCTGCGTCTCATCAAACACCCCTGTGTTGTGCAGGAGCTCAAATTCAACCCCAAGTGCAAACTTGATCCTCAGCACTACCTCTATCAAAGAAACAAGCCAGTTGACTATTTCATCCTGATTCTGCAGGTAATGCTAAACCCATGAGGATTTTGAAATGATAAACGTGAGTCACAGTCGACTTCTGTGCTTGAACAAAACACGTTCCACTTTACAAACTGTGTGCGTGTTGCAGGGACGGGTGGAGGTAGAAATAGGAAAGGAGGCTCTCCGGTTTGAAAATGGAGCATTTTCCTACTATGGCATGCCATCACTCATCCCACCTCTGACTACTGGTAAGTCACTGCATGCAGAAAATGGCTGCACAAGCAGTTTGTTTTCTCTGTCTAAAGGCCACCCTGCGTCTGTCAGCCCACAGGAGCTGCAGCGGCAAGAAAGTAATTAAAAGAAGCGATTTTAGAGAATTTCCCAGTGGAAGGACATGACCTGTGCAGGATTATATGAAATCCAGTTAAGACTGCAGAGCAAGCAGGAAACCTTCCACTCTGTCTCATTTCTTGTGATCAAACATTTTAAATGTTCAATCTCAAAGCTCTAATATTAAAGCATCTAACTTAGGATATAGCTTTTTTTTTTTACCTTTACAAAACAGCAGCTTTTACAGTGTTTAATTTTCTTTTCTTTTTTCTTTTCTTGTGACCGAGTAATATCTCTGCAGTGGATTTTACAAAAAGAATATGTTGCATTGAACCGGGCAGGGCTCATGTGAGTGGAAGAAAATGTGAGCTCCTGCCTCCTTTTATAAATGTGCTCACCGGAGATGCGTGGTTGCTGATTGAAGAGCATTTTCTGCTGTTACATAGAGCACATTGCTCCGTTTTATATTCAGTAGCAGAAGCAGGTCCTTATTAAAATTTATTTTTTCCCAAAATGTAGAAGGTTTTATGGAGCTTTTCATGTAAATACTCAAATTTAAAATAATGTTATTCACATTACACCAAATGGGCAGCACGGTGGCGCAACTGGTAGAGCTGCTGCCTCTCAGCGAGCAGGTCCTTGGTTCAAACCCCGATCCAGGGGCCTTTCTGGGTGGAGTTTGCATGTTCTCTCCGTGCATGCGTGGGTTTTCTCCGGGCACTCCGGTTTCCTCCCACAATCCAAAAACATGCATGTTAGGCTGATTGGTAACTCTAAATTGTCCCTAGGTGTGAGTGAGAGAGTGAATGGTTGTTTGTCTCGTTTGTCTCTATGTGGCCCTGTGATGGACTTGCGACCCGTCCAGGGTGTACCCCGCCCCTCGCACAGTGATTGCTGGACATGGGCACCAGCGACCCCCGTGACCCAAAATGGAATAAACGGGTAAAGAAAATGGATGGATGGATGGACATTACACCAAATGCACATAGGTAATCTCATATTTACCTTCAACACACATTACTGATGTGTGATTTACTGTATTTTTTGGACTATAAGGCACACTTGAAATCCTTTAATTTTCTCAAAAATTGACAGTGAGCCTTATGTATAAAAACAGACCCATTCATTGACATTGCGCCTTATAGTCCAAAAAATATGGTATATTTTTGTCCCTCGATTGGTGTTTTATGAGATTCCTTTACTGTTTGAGAAGAGTCAACATATGCCTAATGCATGGCATTATGATTAAGAAGGCACACATTTGTGCACAAAAAGCCTTACATGCATGTTGGAGTTGAAATCAAATCAAATGGTTAAGGTTATTTCCTGATTATCATCAGGTGAGTATCAAAATACAGAGCAATAAACAAAATTATTGTCCTCCAATGAAAGGAGAAGATAATGTGTTTGCCTGTTTGTGTCTGTTAGTAAAACATGTCATTTACCACATAATTAATTTTAATGAAACTTGTAATCATTAGACATATATCTGCAGCTGATTAACTTTTAAAGTCAAGATGGCTTCCACCACCAACTGATATTCAAAAACATAAAAATGGCTACAACTCAGTCACTTTGACAGATATTAAGCTAAAATTTGGTGTGGTAGTAGACGAGACTGATCCCCTTTATTATACGATTTAATTTTCTTTTATCTTAAATTTTACCATTAATTATTTGGATTTAACTCTGTCTTGTGTTCTGCTCAGCTCACAGGTACAGCTCTCGAGGGAGCAGCCTGAACCAGTCTGATTTATTGTTGAGTGGAGGCAGCGTGGGTCAGCTCACAACAGGAGGGGCCTATTTACCGGACTACTCAGTTCGACAACTCTCGGACCTGCAGATTATCAAGGTTACAAACAAAAATGTCTCAACGAAACACAGAAACACATGAAAAAACATAATTATAATGAACTGAGTTCAACTCTCTCTCTATATGTATACAAGCTTCCTGTCTTTATAAAACAGAACAAATTTCTAATTGCTATCGCACGCAAGAAACTCCACTTTTAATCTCGTGCCATATCAGAAAATGTGCTCTTTTCCTGTGCTGTAACATTTGCCTTTGATATGTCCAGTTCCCTGATTTTGACTGAAAACAGACATCCTGTCTCTCATTCTCTCCTCCACATGCCTGCTTTCCTTTAATCATGAGGCATAATTGAGCTCCATTTCAAGCATGAATATATTTGCTTCCCATGATGGATGTGGCCTCTCCCTTCACCTCTTCTTCCCGTTGTCCAAATGCGGACCACGTTTCCATGAGCGCAGAAGGGTTGGATAGTTAGGAAGCCATGCATGTAACACTGACTTTAACGTTTGCATTTTCTTTGCGCTCCAGATCACCAGGAATCACTACCAGAACGCGTTAACTGCCACCCGAATGGAAAGCTCCCCTCAGACTCCCGATGCCCTGTATCCCAACGCCAAAGCGAGGCCTCCAGGTCCGGAGGCTCGCTCAAACAGCATCGCCCTCCCCTTGATGAGCACGCACACACGACTGGGGCTGACACGCTTTGCACACCTCCATCCTCGTGTCGACCTTCGCAACACCTCCCAACTCAACGAGAGAAACCGGATTGTTCGTAAGTTTTACACGCGCGTACTGGACCGAAGGTTACGTCAAAAAAGGACTGTGTGGTGTGGTTTGGGGTTACTTCCCAGTCATGAGTTGAATAATTA